AAGGGCTCAAAAAGATAAATCAAAAGCACTGGCACGGCCAGAGCGATAGTCCAGTGGGGAGGGCATTTGCCTTGAATGTGGTGACCCAGGTTCAATCCCTGGCATCCCATATGGTCCCCCAAGCACCACCAGGGGTAATTCCTGAGTGCAGAGCCAGGAATTGTCCCTGAGCATTGCTGGGTGTGACCCAAAATAAAAACAAAACAAAAAATTTTAAAAAGAAGAGCACTGGCAGTGAAACAAGTTCTGACAAAAAGAAAATTACAACCCTTCCTCTCAAAACTGAGAATGGAGGTCAGTAGAACAGATTGACCCGAGTCAATGATAATGACTGGACTAAGATGTCATCCTCAGTGAGTTCTCCAGCTCAGTCCTTCAGTGACAGTGAACTTATTGGCAAGGTATTACAATTCTGTGGGTTGTCTCCTTGCAACAAGTGGTTTTGAAATCCGTTTCCAGGTTCCAAATAGGTTAAGGAATCTGCACTTTCTCCAGTCTTTATTGCTAAATTAGCGCCCATCATGTTCTTACTCTCGCAATTTTTAATTACAATGAAGACTTAGGGAGAGAAAGGTAATCTTTCTTGATTCTAGGGTAAATTTCATTGTTAAATAGCTAAATATGTAGAGGTATTTAGGAAGGATAACACCTAAATAATGTGCTTTTCCCAGATTTTCCAGATTCGAAATCAAATCTTACTGCATTTAAAGCAGGACCTTAACTTTTCCTCAGGAAATACTGTCTAGCCAAATATGTAATACTCAGGCATTAAGATATAGGCAGGTAATGTTTTTAAAACCATTTTAAATACCTGGGGTGTGGGAGAAATATGTTTTCTCTGCTTATATGGATTGTCTCCAATTAAAGCTTTATTATTACTTGTCTGAAGTTACAAGTTTTCACAAACCCATCCTAATCCAACTTCCATAAAGTTGGGTCCTTGCTCTTATTTCTGATCTAAGGAAATACAGTTTTAACCATCTGCTTCAAGTTTCTAGAGAATAATTCTAGGTTTCTAGAGAGAGGAGAAGGAATCTATTTCTTACAGCATCATTTTCATATAGGTAAAATTCAGAATATAAAACCTATGGGCCGCGTGACATCTCCTTATGTACAAAGTGATCAATGGAAAGTAAATCATCCAATATTTCTCCCTGAAAATCAGGCTTAACTCTTGCAAATCACAACACCCAAAAGGAGAGAGAGAGAGAACAAAGGGGAATGCCCTGCCACAGAGGCAGGGTGGGATTGGGGGTAGGGGGAGGGATACTGGGATCCGTGGTGGCACTGGTAGAGGGATGGGTATTTGAAAAAAATAAATTTTTTTGAAAAAAATCTATGGGAATGACAGAAGAAAATGATGTAAGTACTTAATTAAGTACATAGTATAAATTCAGGCAATCCTTCAGATGCTTTTTTTTTTTTTTTTTTTTTTTTTTTTTGCTTTTTGTGTCATACCCAACGATGCACAGGAGTTACTCCTGGCTCATGTACTCAGGAATTACTCCTGGTGGTGCTCAGGGGACCCTATGGGATGCTGGGATTGAACCCAGGTCAGCCGCGTACAAAGCAAAACACCCTACCCGCTGTACTATCGCTCCAGCCCCCAGACAGACATTTTTTAATGAGTGTGCAAAGAAATATTAATGGGAAAATCATTATTGTTTAATGAGGTTTTTTTTTTTGCTTTTTTGGGGGGGGTCACACCTGGCGATGCACAGGGGTTATTCCTGGTTCTGCACTCAGGAATTACTCCTGGCGGTGATCAGGGGACCATATGGGATGCTGGGAATCGAACCTGGGTCAGCCACATGCAAGGCAAACGCCCTACCCGCTGTGCTATCGCTCCAGCCCGTTTCATGATTTTTTAAAAGTTTACCAAGACTCTCCATTATTCCAATATAGAGAGAAATGAAAAAAAAGTACTTAGGACATAATCTAAGTAAAACAGTAAAATAATATGAATTGAATAATTGTTTAAAACTTACTAAGATTAGTTGACCAACAGTTGTCTCCTGTGCATCACATCATTCATAGAATAGAAGATTCATCTTTCCTTGGTGGAATTTTCATGTCAGCTTACCAAACCCTTTGTGAATTGTCACGATCTTCTAAATTTAGATCAACCTTCAACATTTAAATATTTTTTACAAGTTCAAATGCCATGAAATAACAAGATCATTAAAATGAAGTGTTCTTGTTGCCCTTTCTCTAGAACAATATTCCCTTTTCCACAACCATTTTCTAAATGTCAGTATTGAACCGTCCCTAAGTTCCTCTAATGTATAGACTCATAGTGAAAGCAAAATTCCCATGGGCAGTTATTGATTCTATAACTTCATCTATGTTCAATTTGAATTTCACTTCCAGGGATATTTTCTTCTTTTTCTTTTTTTATTTTGGTTGCACATCTTTTGGGGTTAAAGTCCTTTTTTTCTTATCTAGCTTTATAATGCAAATTTACCATTGGGAACACAAGGAGACATCCTAAACAACATGATTTCTGATTGCACATCAATAAATTTTAAAATAAGTGACAGATCACCAATCATACATCCACTATATTATCTCATCTACTGTGTATTGACTTATGAACAGAGTCAGCAGTGAAGTTTATAATTAATATTTATATCAAATCTGTATAATGTGAGGAATACTCTATAAAGTAAGCACCTCGCATTATAAAAGCTAGGAAAAGGTCAAAGAGATAAAGAGGGTAGGATACTTGCAATGCATTTGCCTGACCTGAGTTACACCAGCATCCTATATGGTACCCCAAGTACCGCCAGGAATAGTTCCTGAGTACAGAGCAAGGAGTAACCCTGAGCATTGTTGAGCATGGTACAAACTCCCAACCAAGATAAAACTAAACTAAAAAATTTTAAATCTAGGATATTTTAGATTTAAAAATGATTTTTCATAATAGTGAAAAATCATTCGGAAAATAAAATAGTGAAAATAGCGAAAAATCATTCGGAAAATAAAATGGAATTTTAAAAGGTACATGTAAAGATAGATCAACTAAAAGGATTTAAAGATTATCCATTAATATGGTTTATTAAAATTAAATAATTTCATGCATAAATATGAAACTAGGGATAATAAAAGAAAGCTACACAGGAGAGATAAAAAAATCATATAAACCAATTTATTATTTTCAAGATTATCTTCAAAATTTCATACGTGAAATTTTCTTTAGAAACATAATTTTCCAAAATTTATTTCAGATTATTGGCACATCTGAGCAGAACAATTTCAAAAAGAAAAACACAGAAACTTGCCTACCAAAAAAAGTCACATAGAAAAGGCAAGATATACAAGTTATATTAATTTTACTTATTTTGTTTTGGGAGCCACATCCATTATGGCTCTGGAGTTTCTTCTAACTGATGCTCAGATACCACTCCTAGCAGTATTTGAAGGTTCATGTTCATGTTGGGGGTGAAACACAGGACTTCTGCAGGAAAAAAATGTATGTATAAGCCTTGGGAGATATCTCCCCAGCCCTGAAAGGAATTTTTTTAACGAAATTTTTAAAATATAAAATTCCTCCCAGTGTTCTTCAAGCAACATAAAAAGAACTACTATCCTCCATATCATTATGTCTGTGTTGAGTAAAAACGAATACTAAAATCTGAACATCATTGCATACACACATGAAAGGAAAATAAAACATTTAATTTGTAGTACTGAAAAATGAATTTTTCAGCAAAGTGTTAATATGATGGCGAAGCATAGATTTATAAAATGCAGGATAAATCAGAATTATAGTTATTAAAATAGTTAATCATAGTCTAGCCAAAATATATCTTATCTTAAAGCCTTTAAAGATTTGACTTGGAAAATGTCTTGCTTTACTGGTATTCCTATTTACCCTTTGCCCAAATAACCCTAAGAACCCTTGGGTAATCAGGTCACCTGTAGAGTGGTCAGTTGATTGGGATTTGAGCGCTAACAGCTGTTTGGGCCTTAATAGGGCACACAGGTCCGTGATTAAAGATGTTGTTGCTCTCCATACTATATTGGTAGGATGGTCTGTCGCCCCCGTACAGGGGTCTGAGCTAAAGTATGCAGAGGCTTTACCCCAGGATGGGCTCATTATGCAAAGAATAGAACATTTTTTTAAATTAATTTTTACTGTACATTCAAATATTCTATCAAACACTAAAGTTTTATATAAAGGCACACGTGTGTGTGTGTGTGTGTGTGTGTGTGTACTTCACACACATACTTGATTATATACACAGCGTGAAATTGAGGATTACAACTAAACCACAGGTTTCTGGAAGATCACAAATCCCTTTTTTAGGTTTAATTCAATGTTATCACTGTTCACTGCTTGGCTGCTCTTTGGAGTTCAGATAACACAGGGCATTTAGTCAATCTTTTTTAAATGATTTTTTTTAAGCAATCATACTACGAAAAGGTGGGGAAACTCAATTACTATTTTCCTATCGACTATGGTTTGCCAGCTTGTTGAGTTCTTGTGAAAAGCACCTCACAGGTGGCCCAACTTGAGCACACAATGACTTTCTGGTTGCCAAATGGCCTCCAATAGCTTGGAAACTGACAATGCAGAAACCGTCACTTGCCTAAGAAACTTCACCTTTGAGCCTCAGACCCGTAGTTGAGCAGTTTTTTTCCATGAGCAGTTTATGTTAGCTGGAAATCAATTCTAAACCAGCTTCCTTGGAGCCCTTTTCTCCTCTCCATATTCTAGGCTTGCTTATTCACCTTTAGTCTTGCACTGCTTATTTTAAGAAGCCGTTCTAGGAGGTTCCCTATGACCATTAGCTTGCTCAGCAAAGAAATTAAAACCAGTGGCCTTTTATCAGCAGTGCAATGCTTGGGGGAACATCGAAGCAATATCCACCCAGCCTCGCACACAAACACAATTTCACTCCGATGGAACGGAGCCAACGGGTAGCAGCCCCTTTCCGGAAAACATAGGTGGCTCTGAAAAGAGCCTTTGGGTTTTCGGTCTGCTTGCTCGTGCGTGCTCACTTGGCGCTGGTGTACTTGGTGACGGCCTTGGTGCCCTCGGACACGGCGTGCTTGGCCAGCTCCCCGGGCAGCAGCAGGCGCACGGCCGTCTGGATCTCCCGCGACGTGATGGTCGAGCGCTTGTTGTAGTGCGCCAGGCGGGACGCCTCGCCGGCGATGCGCTCGAAGATGTCGTTGACGAACGAGTTCATGATGCTCATGGCCTTGGACGAGATGCCGGTGTCGGGGTGGACCTGCTTCAGCACCTTGTAGATGTAGATGGAGTAGCTCTCCTTACGGCTCCTCTTACGCCTCTTCCCCTCCTTCTTCTGCGTCTTCGTTACAGCCTTCTTGAAGCCCTTCTTGGAAGGAACAACTCCCTTGGGGGCAGCCGGCTCCGGCATGACTAGTGTACAGCTCTCAGCGTTACAGCTCTAGAGTGTTACAGCTCTCGAACTCCCAGGGGCCGAGCAAGCAGAGGACGAACGGCCGCACAAAGGCGCTATTTATACCCCTCGCTGCCCTATGACGTGTCAGGCAACCAGCCTACGATTGGCTAGGGAGGTAACAGCAGTTTGCAAATGAGGGGATTCTGGCCGGGCATTCTGATTGGATAGACAGCCATCAGCCAATCAGAGAGCAGTTCACGCCCTATCGTCAGGCTATAAATAGACTGGGTCCGGATACTTAAGAACCGGTGCCTGTCTGCTTTTGTGGAAGCTGCTGGAGGATGTCCGGGCGCGGCAAACAAGGAGGCAAGGCGCGTGCTAAGGCTAGATCCCGGTCCTCTCGAGCTGGTTTGCAGTTCCCGGTGGGCCGGGTTCACCGCCTGCTCCGGAAGGGCAACTACGTCGATCGTATCGGGGCCGGTGCACCCGTGTATCTGACTGCGGTGCTTGAGTACCTGACGGCTGAGATTTTGGAGCTGGCGGGCAATGCTTCTCGAGACAATAAGAAGACGCGCATCATTCCCCGCCACTTGCAGCTGGCCATTCGAAACGACGAGGAGCTCAGTAAGCTGCTGGGAGGGGTGACCATCGCGCAGGGGGGCGTGCTGCCCAACATCCAGGCCGTGCTGCTGCCCAAGAAGACCGAGAGCCACCACAAAGGGCAGAGTAAGTGACCTCCGAGGCGGAGGTGACCGGCGAGGGGTCCTGAGCATCGGAAGAAACCCAACGGCTCTTTTCAGAGCCACTCCAGTGATCAAGGAAGGCTGTGCACAGGACGTGATAGCCCACGTAAAGCTATTAATAAAGGGAGTCTTTTATCAGTTCTGTCAGGATTCTCCAACGTCTCAATGTACCGAAAAAGCCAACTTTCCTGAGCTGTCAGGAATTTACGGGCTGGCTCAACTGTTGAACCACAATTCTTAACAGCAAGGACGGTCTTGATATGTTTAGTCACGTGTTTCTATAGTCTGAGGGAGGAGTAGGATTTAGCTGCAATATTAAGTATGGTGCTGAAGCTAGTGTGAACAAGGTGTTCTTTATATATTTAATTGGGGGAGGGAGATTGGTGTGGGTGGGTACACCTGGCTATGCTCGACGCTTCCCAGCTCTGCTCAGATCACTCTTGGCTGAGCTCAGGGGACCGTAACGCAACAGAGATTGAAAATTACCAGCTGCATGCAAGGCAAGTACTTGACCAGTGTATTATCTTTACCTTGAATTTGTATTTCAAGGTTTGCATTTTGCTCAGTTAGTGGCTAGATTCGAGTGATTGCATTAGGACAAATAAGATTTAGTTCAGTGGCATTTCTGCCAAGGCCATATGGTTTTCCATGACTTCTGTGAAGGATCTTTCGCTGAAACATCCTAGCATGATTCAGTATTGTGAAAGCCAAAGTACAAAGCATCTTCATTGGGGATGGGCAGGACCTTCACAGCTGTGCTCATCACTTGCCCCATCCAGTCCAATTGGTACCCAACCAAGAGAGCAGATCAATGCTAGGGCCTAACGAGGCACTAGCCAGGTAGTGTTGGCAGTCACTGAGGCCACATCCAGCGGTGCGGCGGTGGGTGGAGAGATGTCAGATCTGGAATCAAGGCAGATTCTCGCCTCCTATAGGGTATATACTCCTCTCACCTGAGCCTAAGGTTTTAATATAGTAAAGGTTCGTTTTCACACATGCCTATAAAGGAGGAATAGAAGTGTTTCTTAAATGACAAAATCTGATACCAAGTACAACATATAGTACCTTAGTCTCATTCAGAAACTTGACAGGGTCAGGACTATCCAAATTCACTGAAATCAGAAAATTTCAGAAAGATTATTTCAGAAAGAATAAAAGATGGGGAGTATGAGAGAGCACAGTAGCTAAGGCGCTTGCCTTGCAGCCAGCCAACCCAGGTTTATTCACTGACTCCCATTTTGTCCTCTGAACCGCCCAGGAGTAAACCCTGAGTGCAGAGCCAGCTGTCAGCAATGAGAATTGCCAAACTTAGCCTGAAAAAAAAAGTAGAAAAGTTAAAAGATGAGAAAGAATTTCGTAAGGTTTTGACACCCAGGTTGTGAAAGCTCTCTCTTTAATGTAAGTTAATAGTTAATATAGTTGTTAATAATCAATAAGGCATGTAATCAGAGAGGACACAAGAGAAAGGACAGTTTTTGAAAACTGATGAAAGAGAAGTTTTACAGGCATATGAAACAGAAATATGAAAATTAACTACAGAGTCTCTTTCCAGTGGTGCTTGGGGGGAGGGGGGGGGTCCATGAACTACTGGGAATTAAACTTGGGTCCTCATTTATGTAAGGTGTGCGCTCCAGACCTTTGAGCTATCTCCCCTGCATTAAGATGTTTTTAATCGAGTAGTGATATAAATAAGTGGTATATGTGAAATATCTGCTAAAGACTTCTGAGTAATTTATCTCATGGAGCAGGTGGAGTGTAACTTCCCAGTATTACGGAAACACGGAAAGTAGAAAGGCAAGGGAGAAAGGGAGTGAGTTTACAGTAGAGAAATCTGGCATGCCTCCCTCAACGATATGATATGATATAATCAAGGACAATATCATCAGTGATTAAACAAGTTAAGATGCTGGAGAGATAAGATAGTAAAGTGAGTAGCCAAGCTTGCCACCAACCCAGTTTAATCTCTAGCACTGTTTATGGTCCCTGAACACCACTAGGAGTGATCTCTGAAAAAAGCCTGAATACAGTCAAGTGTGACACATCCTCCCCACCTTTCACCCACTTTTTTTTTTCTTTTTTGGGTCACACCCGGTGATGCACAGGGGTTACTCCTGGCTCTGCACTCAGGAGTTACTCCTGGCGGTGCTCAGGGGACTATATGGTTTGCTGGGAATTGAACCCAGGTCGGCCGCGTGCAAGGCAAACGCCCTACCTGCTGTGCTATCGCTCCAGCCCCCTCCCACCCACCTTTTAGAAAAACAGTTAAGGTAGTAAAAACCCGAGACTTCTGAGAAATTCTCAACTCCGGAGACACAGAAGACATTATGAATTAATATTCAGAAGAGAAAAGTAAAATTTAATGACTTTCAAACAAAGCTTAGAGTGTACAGTAATGTAGAAATATTAGTCCCTTTGTCATGACAAATGCACAGATGTTGATAATAGGGAAACTATACAAGAGGTATACAGGATTTTTCGTGTTATGTTTCGTACTTTTCTGTGAATGTAAAAATTGTTCATTTAGAAAATTGGAAAAACGAAATGTCAAAATGTTTTTAAAAGTCAGAGAATAATCTCAAGTACAGAAATTGATGAAGGAAATCAGTAGCCCACAGCCTCTGACCTGAAGTATAAAATGTCTCTGCCAGGTAAATGTCGGCAGGCAGTAACCCAGAAATTCCCGTAGATGATAAGTCAAGAGCCTGTTGGAAGCCAGGCAAGTAGACTTACCAGTAAACTCAATAATGAGTGTGTTCACTTGGTTGCCATAGAGATGCCAGTGTTAGGATGTGCCTGTTTCAGATCTATTATGTAGATATTAAATATAATCATACCAGTTGTGACATTCCTAGTGATTCTTGCCTTCTGGCTTCGATGGTGCATTCTTAGAAACTCTTAAGACAATAAATTGAGCAAAAGATTTGCATAGAGGAGACAGTTTTCCGCTACCTTGAGCACAGCAATTTCAAAACAGTGGTGCTTGCTTACATACTATATCTTCAAATGGGGAATTAAGTAAAATTAATTTCTGATTTGTAATTAAAGCAAAAGGAAATGATGGCACATGAGATACCTGAAAGCCTCTCTGATTGGGTAATATTCCTGATGGTAACAACCATTCAGAAAGCAAAAGACATGATCTTTAAAGGCACTTTGGAACCAGATACAGTCTGTGGCACAAGTAGAAACTTTCCAGCACAGAACCAGAGCTAAACCCTGAGTTTGAGTGTAGTCCCAATACAAAAAAAAAAAACCCTAAATAAATAAACATTATAAAATTGTCAATGATGCATTGCTGTTATGTGTGTTAATGTATAATACAACAATACTTCATACATATATGTGCATATATGTAATAATATATAATGTATATACATATATAATGTGTATATATACTCTTTAAAAAAGAGCATCAGTACAATAGCAGTTTACATAGTGTAACATATAAAGTGTGTGTATAGGCTTTAAAAGAACATCAGTGCACAGTGGCTTACTGAAAGTTTCTGAACCAAAATAATCTGTCTTGTCTTGGTACTGTTTATAAGGACAGCACTTTTATTAACATAATCAGAATAGCATTTATTGGAAAACAGAGATTGTGGTTTGACTCCCCAACCAAAAGACAGTAGCAGAGGAGAGAAGGGAACACCAAGTAAAGAACATTGGGAGGACCCATTTGGGTTGACAGATGCGTGCCGAAAGTAGACTGTAGACCGAACACATGGCCACTCAATACCTCAATTGCAAACCACAACACCCAAGAGGAGAGAGAACAAAAGGGAATGCCCTACCGCTGAGGCAGGGTGGGGTTGGTGGGGGATGGGGTGGGGTTGGTGGGAGGGATTCTGGGAACATCGGTGGAGGAAAATGGGCACTGGTGGAGGGATGGGTAACCGATAGTAGTATGACTGTAATGCAGACACCAAAATTTGTAAGTTTGTAACTGTACCCCGCAGTGATTCACTAATAAAAATAAATAAAAATTTTAAACTTTTTTAAAGAAAGACAGTAGCAAGATATGTTCCACCAAGATGAGGGCATAGGGGAGATTTAAAGGATCAAGCAGAATGGTAGGACAGTGATCTAACTTCAGTGTCATTTGTTTCAAACTTTTGGGGAATTTGTATGAGGAAGAGTTTGGGCCACAGCCAGTGCTTGGACAAGGGATGTTTCTGGCTCTGTGCTCAGGAGTAAGTCATAGGAGTGATTTAGAGATCTTACTTTGTATAGCGGATTCAAGCCAGGCTCTGGCATTGGAATTACAAGGCAAGTACCCCTGCACCCATACCATCTCTGGCCCTTTTAAAGTTTTGAGTTGGTTCCACAGAAATCTGCAGAAAACAAGCTTCAGTGTGGCCTTTTTTGTAACAATTGTTAGATGGACCCTTGTTTATTTCCTACCAGAAAGAACAGGATGTTGCTATTCTTATGTTTATTCTCTCAGAGTGGCCATTAGTGAGTTGAGCTGCTTACCTTTCATCTAGAATTTTCTAGGGGGCAGTTAGGTTCAAAGTAGACACTGTCCAGATGTGTTCTTTATAATATTAAATTGCAGCTTTTAAAATAACTAAAATATGCTCAGAACCTACTCCTGGGTTTGCTTGGGAATTGCTTCTTTTGGTACCTCGGGATCACACTGTGCTGAGGATCAGACCAGGTTTTCTTTTTTTTTTTTTTTATTAGTGAAACACCATGAGGTACAGTTGTAGGCTTACAAGTTGTTGTGCTTGGGTTTCAGTTATACAATGATCGAGTACCCATCCCACCACCAGTGCCCATTCTCCACCCCCACCAATCCCAGTATCCCTCCCACCCGCAATCCCCCATCCCACCCTGCCTCTATGTCAAGGCACTCCCTTTTGTTCTATCTCTCCTTTTGGGTGCTGTCAGACCGGGTTTTCTTACATAATTTTTGTTTCCATAGTTGAGTCAGGTAATTTAACCCGCAAAACCAAGCTAAAGGTTGTGTGTGTGTGTGTGTGTGTGTGTGT